CATGTGATTGCCGCAAGCCCGCCGAACCCTCCTTCGTCGGATCCGCCGGCCGCGCCGTTCTCAAGCCCGCCGGCCTCTGCTCACTCTAGGCGCCGGCCTCCACTCACTCTAGGCCTCCGGCCTCTCACTCTAGCCCGCCGTGTGTGACGCTGTGTTTCGCTGTGAAAGCGAAACTACTTTGTTTGGCCTTCCAAAAGAGGACACGACTAGAAATCAGTGGTTAAGTTGTATTTACAACACTGTTCCAGAACAGTTCAACCCAAATATTCCGATGTGGGGAGTTTCAAAGAGCAACTGATTTTGGATCTGGTCTAGTTGAAACATCTCTGGAATGTCTGAGAACGGAAGTACTCGTGTGCATCATCATCATCATCATGACTCATGTTAAGCTGGACCAGACACGTCGCTAAACACAACAGTAATATATATACAGGATACTATGAAATAAAGGCAGACAAAAATTTGAAGTCGTAGTTCACAGAACGTCTCAACTGCATCAATCAGCAGTCAGTCTTTAGTCTTTATCCTTCAACTGTCACTCAGATCTTTCTGCTTGCTCTTATGAAAAGAGAAAAAAAAAACATTCCTCCTGGGTGATCATCAGACCTGAAAACAGCAGGGCATTCTGGGATGCTTCTTCTGGAAGTCAAAGCGATGCGGGTTGAAGGACATTAGGGTCTATGCAGAGGTCAGGGGGATTTCTCACGTGGCTTTCTGTCTATAATGAACGGTCAGGTCTCCACCGCTCTTCCAGATGAAATGCTTTACAGTCCTGAGGTCCATGTTTGGATCCAAAAGCTACAAAAGACAGCAAACATGAACAATAGAGTACGAACAAGCTTTTCAGATTGTAACATGAGCTTTGTTTGTTTACTAATTAGGAGCACAATGCTAATTATATAATGCTACATGTAACATTCAATGCAGTGGAACATTAATAAGTATGTAAATAATGTTAAAGTAGCAGAAAGTCACCAAAACTGTAGGATTTACTTAAGTTCAAGTGTCTTTTCACACGGTTTAACTGGGGTTAAGGCCACTTTAACCCTGGGTTAATCAATGTTTCACACATGTCATTTTATTACTAAGGGTTACTGGTGTCACTAAAGCTGTGTGAATTGTAACGGCCAGTTGCGTAACAACCAATCAAAATGAAATAATGGTCACCTCATTTAAATTCTTTTCAGCATCTGGGGAAAATAAGTTGTTGAACAGCGAAAAATGAGCACATTGGAGTGATGAGGGTGTCTCTAGTATTTTTTTTTTTTGTCTGGAGGCAGTAAAGAAGGTCTGATAGGAGGTCTAACCTGATCTAAACACATGAGCTCAATCTTCTCTTCGGCCATCACCGCCACGTCTTCCTCTTTCTCCTGCTCTCCTGGTTTGTCATTGGCTGAGGAGCTGGTGGTCTGTGACTCAGTGTCGAGGTTGATGATCTTCTCGTAGACGTGTTCCATCACTTTCCGAACCTGCAGCATGTCGCTAGCGGACAAACGGTCCCTGAAAACAACAGATTTTGATGAATAATCAGTTTACTGAAGATCAAAATCCAAAATATTTAAATGTACAGTCCAGTCCAGTAATGTATAGACAAATGTATAGTCCAGTATGACTTTTTAACTCGAAATATTTCAACAGAATAAGACTTATTACAAGCATTTTGTCACAGAAAACTTTCTTTATATACCATATTTTACAAACACAGCATACTTTTTGAGTGTTTTGGCCCCAGACGATGAATGCGGTTGGAGGTAGAATGGGATCTTGTTGAATTTTGGCATGTTTTTCTGTAGCAGAAAAGAAAAGCAGTCAATATACAATCAAAAACATTTTCAAGTCCATATGCTGGACACATAATGGGATGATTGTGGGATATGAAACGCTCACATCTACAGTGATATCAATAACCCATTGAGGTACAGTTTCATTCAGTAACGTGGACTCTGTCTCTCCTCCAGAATCGCGGCACAATAACCTGGAATTGGAAGGAAACACGGCTTATAATGAAGACAAAATACAGGAAGGAAAGTCAGATGAGTTTAATGAGTTCTTCATCAGTTCTAGACACTGTTATTCTGACCTAAACAACGTTCTTCCTCCTGCTTCACCAAAGATGACAGGAGTGTGTGGAGGAACCTGGAAGTAGCCGTTGCCCTTTTGAATTCGGCTCTCCTGTTCACCGTTCACTACAGAGAAATTCACACAGAAAATTATAAAATCAGAAACCAACTGCATATTTCCATAAATTCCATTAGCTCACAAACCAAGCTTTGATCAAATAATTCCACACATTCTTTGCTGATAGGGAAATAAATGTCAGTATAGTGAAAATGTATTAAAAGAAATGTATTATTAAATACACACTTATTAAAAATCTTATTTATATCAGAATTATTAGTATAAAGGCAAATTCTACTGAATTGCTACACGAGAAATAGGCAGCAAACTATGCTTTAAACAAAGCCATTATGCTTTAAAAAAGGAAAAAGCTCAGAAACCACTACCAAAATACCTGCATGCATTCATGTGCATTAGGCAATCCCAGAATGCATTGCAAAAAAATTCTAGGATTAACTAAAATAACAGAATAGAGTCAAAGAAAATTAGATTCACTACTGAAAACTATTAACAGAAAATAATTTCGAAATAATAATGATAATAATCATTATTGCCTTTATTAAAATATTCCTTTACAGAAAAAAAAGAAAACAAGTCTACCATGGTTGAGTTCGATTTCCTCTTCTTCCATTGGGTTTATATGAGTTCTGGGCCAGAACTCTAACAGCGCCTGCAGGAGCAGCCCACCCAGGTTCACTGAAACACACGAATAAACACAAAGAATAGTTGTTACATAATTCTTACTGTCAAATTAGTCGTAAGGTCAGAATATGAATGATAAACAAACACTTCAAAAAATCCGTTGTTTATCTGTATCATCATCTTGTTTTCTAAATGTCCTTACATCAAAAAGGTAGTAAGACTTGTTTAAAAAGATTGCAAAATCAAAGGCATTTCTATCTTGATTTAAAGGTGAAGTGTGTAATTTCAGCAGCCCTAGTGGCACCAAATAGAATTGCAAAAAATAAAAATCATACAATTCTTCAAAGAAATTACACACACAAAAAAAAAGCCAACATCAGCAAACATATAGTCTAGCCCCTATTTAATTGTGTTTTGCCTCAAGAATGTCATTTTTGCAGCATAAATATTAGATATTCAGCTAAAGAACAAAATACTTAGTCACAGCAAAACAACACTAGGCATTTAGAAGAAGACATTACACTTTGGATCAGAGCCGTCTGGGCTTGTAAAACAAGCATCTTTAGCTGCCACCCACGCCGCAAAACAATCACTTTCATCCAGCGTGATAGTCAGCATCTGAAAAGCAGCAAGAACAGACGTAGCATTCATTATCTTTCATCTTCACCCTCATTACTAACCGAAAAACAAGCTGCTAATACTCGCCCCTGTCTTGAGATCGACAGAAAACCAGTTCGGCACATAGACCATCTTGAACCTCTTTTTAATTTCTTCATCAAAGTCCACTTTACCCAGGTCTTCCCCCTTACATGCCTACAAAACACAGAGTGAGATTAAATAAGAACTGGCTTTAAGATGCCACAAAAGCTTTTCATGATCTGCTCTTACCTTGAGGATATCCCAGAATGCCACACTGTTATTGGAGTCTTTGGTAAGTATGTGCCTCTTATCATTGAGAATATGACACTGAACGATGTTGGTGCCACCTGAAATTGAATTCAAGCTCTCAGTCAAAGATTAAATCAATTATAGAGAACAGACGAGCACATTTTGATCAAGTGAGATTAGTAATCAGTCATTTAACGGAGGCTTCTACCCAAACCAACAAGTTCCTTACAGTTTGCCTTTGGCTCACTCAGGGGTAAAACCAGCAACCTTATGGTTACCATCCCTGAGTTTTAAAGGTGTCATATGATGCGATTTAAATTTTTCCTTTCTCTTTGGAGTGTTACAAGCTCTTGGTGCATAAAGAAGATATGTAAAGTTGCAAAGACTAAAGTCTCAAATCCAAAGAGATATTCTTTATAAAAGTTGAGTCAGCCACACCTACCTAAAACGGCTCGTTCTAACACGCCCCCACATACCTACGTCACGATGTGGGAAGATTTGCATAACACCGCCCAAATGTTCACACAAAGAAAGAAGGAGTAACTTTTATTCTCGCTGTAATATTGAAAAGTGAAAAGTGAAAAAGTGAAAAGTGACGTGACATGTGGCCAAGTATGGTGACCCATACTC